GTTGTTTAGTAATTTAAGTTGAAGGCTAGTAAGTTTAGAACTTGCTAAGTTGTAGAAGAATAAAAATATTAGTATTGATAGTGTCTGGGACACTTTAGAGACATATTAGTTGTTACGTTTTGGTGCTTTTGTGTGTTAATAAATTATTTCATTTATCTTTTGTTAATGATTATGACCCTTTGCTAAATTGGCTGAACGAATACAAGACTCTTCTTTGGTCATAATATTTATAGTGCCAATTGTGTGGATATAAATACTAATAAGAAATAAAAAGTCAATTAGTATAGAAAATTTTTAATAATAAACGAAAGAAAAATCAAAACAAAGATCATTAGTGTTAACATTTTAATATTATTTTGAACAAAAGCGAAGGTTGGCTTGTATTAAAATCTAATAAAGAATGTAATTCAAATTAGCACTGTATTGAAATTAAAAATTAGTAATAGAAATTTAGATAAGAAAACAAAAACCGGATTCGTATTACTTAGAATCAAGATATTAATGACGATAAAAAATCAAATAATATATTAATAGCAAATGTTAAAAAAAAAAATAAATAAAGGCTTAGACGAATGAAATGATAAATAGATATATTAACAACAACTTGAAATAAAGCCTTGATGACTAACGACGACGGGTCTATGGATGAATATATGACTTATGAGCCAGTAAACGTATCCAAAAGTGGTAATAAAACTGGCAAGGAGAAAAGAAATATGTCTATAGTGAATGATAATATTGTTATGAATCGAAATTATAATCTGAAGGGTAGTAATATAAAGACCAATATAAGACTTTTGGATATACCAAACGATGGCCCTAAACAACAAACTCAGCGAATATTACAAGCAATAGCCGATGCATTAGAGCTAAGAGCTTAACCAAAAGAGCAAATTATAGTCAAAATTTCTACGTTTGCTGCAGGAAATCAAGACCCGATAGAATAGCTAGAGCTAGTGGAACAAGCTTTCGAGGCAAATAATATTTCAGAAGAATGAAGGTTGGCAGTAGTTGGTCTACATCTTTTTGAAGTAGCTGCACTATGGTGGGCTAGAGTAATAGTGACACTTTCTCTCGACAAAGCTTTACTCACCAATTTTAGCAAAATTTCTGTTCTCAAACCTTGATTAGCCAATGGAATAATGAATTGTTGATGAGACAATAACATGTTGGAGAAACTGTGGATCAATATGCTGTCGATATGTTGTCTTTATTTAATCATGTTACAAAAGTTAGGAGTCAATATCCAGAGGTAGTGAAAGCACAGATGTTTGTGCAGGGACTACGTCCTGACTTATCTTTAGCAGTAGGGCTGTTTATGTCTAATACGCTACAAGAAGCGATAGACCGAGCTAGAATCTGTGAAATAACCTTCATCCATGAATTAGCTCTCTGTGGATCTGTAGTGATATATAATACTGTATCTGGTACCCCGGCCTTGCAACAATCATTTATACAGCAACTAGTAGCTTTACAACAATCCCGATATTCACAATATCAGCTAGCACTACAGCAACAAGTATCGACAAAGCCAATAGTACCAGCTACCAGTTATTCAAGAAGTCCGCAGTCGAATATTTCTATGAATGATAGTTCAAATAGATCTATAGGACATGTGATTTCACTACTACAAAAAGTAGTGTCTGCTATAAGGAATAATAATGATAATGGTAATCGCTCACGCCCTGTAGATAACAAAAATTGGAGAGAAAGGAATAACCATGTGCCAACTTGTTTCGCATGTCAATAGCCAGGACATTATGCTAAAAATTGCCCGAATATGCTCCAACAAGTTAATGAAAATAGAAGTGGCTCTTCACAGTATAATATTTCAAATTCTAATAATACACAACATGCTAGCCCTATCACGACAAATGAAGAAGCAAGAGCACAAGCAATGTGGGTTGAAATAGAAAACGATCTTGAGCATTTAAACTACATGACATACCTTTAGAGAGTGAGTGTGCATTGACATCAAAAAATCCCTCGATAATAAAGATTGAAGAAGCTTATCTTGCCAAGAGATAACAAAAGGACGATGACGATAATAATAATGAAGTTCCAACACCAAATAAAGCTATGGAAAGAATGAACATAAAGAAAAAAAACAGAAAATGGCAAGAAAGAAGAAAACAAAGCCGATTGATCTGCAAGTAGTAACAGGTATTTCACTGTAACTGATAATGTCAGATTTGCAAAAGCAAAAAGCTGATATAACATATGTGCAATTATTTCACATAGCGTCTGGTATACAAAAAGAAGCCTTGAAGATACTACACCCTGGAAGAATCGTTAGGCCAAAGGTTACCGAATTTCGATTGAACAATACTGATAGGAGTTATACTACGTCAATGTATTGTAAAGCTTGGGTTAACAACGAACCAATAATCCTTATCTTGGACAGTAGTTCTCCAGATTGCATTGTTTCAGCTAGATTTTTAAAAGAACTTGGGATTTTGATTGACTGTCTATCCACTATCTTAATGATAGGGATACATGGGGAATAAAAAAACCCTGGGCGAAGTTGACCAATTTCCAGTAACAGTAGGAGGAAAAAAGATAATCTCACATGCTGTTGTGACCAAAGCTAGAAACTATGCTATGATTATCAAGAATGACTGGATAAATAAAGTATGAGTATGCTTGAACTAGGAAATCTGTAAACTAACTATAAGAGATGGTAACAAGAAAATAAAGATCCTAACTGAATATTGCAAGCCGGCTAATATTAATGAGCGAATAATAAGTAAGACACTTGCTGGAAAAAAAACCTGAGAAAAAGGATGCAGAAAAATCAGACAAATTCGATAGTGAAGAAGATGAAGAAACTAACGAATCAGATGAAAATGAAGAAACTGATGAATAGGATAATAATGAAGCCTTGCTAAATCAAAAATATTTGTTCTACGAAATACAGCCTATATTGGATGGGTCGGCAAAACTATGTGGACGATATATGAAGAAAAGACATGATGCTGTTGATTGTGCTCTAAAGAAGCCATGGGAAGATAATTGGGCAGTATGCCTTTTCAATGAAACTAAAAAATTAAACGATAACTTGAATATTGGTGAAATGATGATTAAACAAAAGAACCGTCTCGAAAAACTATTAAAGTAGCACCAGGGTCTCTTTGCGCGAGAACTCTGTGAGCTGGGTCAACAATGGTCATGCAGCATGAAATCTATACAGAAGAGGAACTGTCAATTAAGCAATGATTCTATTCTACGTTCAAAGTCGAATACGAATTTATTAGACAAGAAATTTAGCAGATAGAAAAGTCTGGTCTAATTTGGTCGTCGAATAGTTTGTGGTTGTCCCCGGTCATCTTGGTGAAAAAAAAGAATAGAAAGTTAAACTTTTGTATTGACTTTCGAAAATTAAACAAGAAAACAAAATAGGATAGTTATCCTTTGTCCCGAATTAACGAGCTCTTGAGAGACCTAAAAAAGTCTACCTGGTATATGACGCTGGACCTTGTAAGCAGTTTCTGGCAAGTCAAAATGCACCTTTGCGACTAGGAGAAAACAGCATTTACTACAAAATTCAGCCTTTATAAATTTGTAATAATGCCTTTCAGTTTGATAAATGCGCCAGCCACTTTCCAGAGATTAATGGATCGTGTCTTGTGTAAGGAACTATGGAAATTTGCTCTAGCTTATATTGACAACGTGAACATATACTCACCTGACTTCAATATACATATGGTCCACATCGATGTTGTATTAGAAAGACTACGAAAAGCAAATTTGAAATTAAACACAAACAAGTGTTTTTTCAGACAAAAGCAAATTTCATATTTGGGATATGAAATCAGCGAGAAAGGTGTGACTGCAGCAAAGTCGAAGATAAAGATAATAAAGAACTTCCCTGAACCAAAGAATGTGCGAACATTACAAGGTTTTTTAGAACTTGCAAGTTTTTACCATAGATTTGTAAAAGACTTTGCCAAGGTAGCTATGCCATTATACTAATTATTAAAGAATGATGTCCCTTATTAATAGAAGGAGAATCAAAAAGAAGCGTTTGATGAGTTGAAGCTACGACTAATGATGGCTCCGATTTTAGCATACCCACAAGATAAAAAAGGGTTTTTACTGTATACTAACACCTCCCATATAGCTCTTGGTGCAATTCTAGCGCAAACTGATGAGAAAGTCAAGAACACGTAGTGGAATATGCAAGTAGGTCGACGAAGCCTGCTGAAAAAAATTATACAATTACAGAACTGGAGTGTACCGCTATTGTTTGGGCTGTGAAAAAATTTCATCAGTATCTACATGGAGCCTAGTTTATACTGATAACAGATCATAGTGCATTGGTTTATTTGAATAATATGACGAACCCTACTAGAAGAATGGCCCGCTACATAATATTGTTGCAAGGTTACGACTTTGTAGTTAAACATAAACCTGGGAAGCAATTGGGTAATGTAGATGCACTATCAAGAGTTATGATCGATCCAGAAGAAAGCTCGACAGTAAAGAACGAAAAGAACAATAAGCAAAGTGACAATTAAAAAAAAAAAAAAAAAACAAAAAAAAAAAAAACTTATATATATATATTAGTTACATTTATTTCAAACTATACTACTCAATTTATTACAATAAAACTGAAATAAATTAATTGACAAATGTAGTCAAATTTGATCAGTAAACAATTACCTTGATGCGAAATCACATGTTTTAAAAAAAAAACCAAAAAAAAACTCCTACACTATTTACATTTATTCTAATCAAGATTAATCAACACTGCAAAACAAAATTGAAATAAACTGATAATATACAACTAGAATTAAATCTGTAAACAAATAATCTGATATGAGGTTATGTGATTTCAGCGATCATACATATAGATAGTAATGCAATATTAAAGACAAAGAGACTATGAATTGTCAAACAATATAATGGACGTAGTGAAGCTGGAACAGCTACGACAATGTGGATGCAGGGAACGGGGCACCTACAAAAACTTAAAACATAGCAAACTTTGAACATAGTAGTTAAAAAAAAAATTGAGTTAAACACATGATAATATTATATAGGATAAGAACAGCAATTTCTATTTAAATAGCACATGCATACTTGAAAGTCTAGAAATTAATAAATTAGTTCAAAAAAAAAAAAAAAAAAATTGCAATAGAATCGGAGTCTTATAAAGCATTGGTTAGTTATTTGGATAAGTTGAAGATCCCTGTGGAGTATACCAAAGAACAAGAGAAGAAATTAAAGGCTCAAGCCTAGTATTATATCATACATGGTGGTATCCTATATCAATAAAATAAAGAAAATCCTGATAGACTATTGAGGGTAATAATGAAAGAACAAGTGGAATTTGTACTGAAGGCACTTCATGAAGATCCTGTCTCTGGACATTTGGGTGAAAATGTAACAATTGAAAAAGCAAAAGAACGATACCACTGGAACCAAATGGTGAATGATATTCAGACCTTCGTTAAAAGCTGTAACGTATGCTAACAACAGGTAAATCAACAAAAGAGAAGCATTGTATCCAATTAAAGTAAATTAGCCCTTCGACCGTATTGGTATCAACATTGTAGCAGAAAGCGTCACTACATTCATATTAGATGAAATAATAAGCAGGCATAGGTGCCCATAACAAGTCCAATCAGATCAAGGCTTCTATTTTGTCAGCAAGGTAATAGACTTCATATGTGAAAAGGCCCAACTCAAGCATAAATTATCAACTACTTATCATCCACAAAGCAATGGTTTAGTAAAAAGGTTTAATAAAACCCTGTGCGAAGTTTTAGCCAAATGCGTTAGTCAGTTTCTAGAAGATTGGGATGATTATTTGTCACCCACGCTATTTTCCTGTAGAACCACCAAGCATTATATCACGAAGTATAGTCTGTTCTACCTGTTGTATGGAAGGGAACCTATGTTGCCTATAGAGTTGATGTTGGAGATGTACCCTGTAGATAATGCGGCTAAAGAACAATCAAGAGGTGCATCCCAATAATGGTCTAATGCTTTATATAAACTCTCCTTTACTTTTTCTACTAGATTATCCGTATTTTGAGGTTGACTAAGATTAAACTTACCTCCATTAGCCGTAATAATTATTTCCAATTCTTCATCCACATCGACTATATTCTCTTCCTCCTCATCAAAAATAGTTAACATATTTGTTAAATCAAGCTCTTTATTACTTATACTCATCGACAATGGTGTACAATTTCTAGTAAGGGTGGTGATTGCTGGCCACATAAAACTAAGTGTAGTATAATTACTACCTCCTAGCAATTGTGTAATCTTAGCAAAAGGGGCCAAAATTATAGTTAATTCCTCAAGAACTTTCCATTCTTCTTCTGTAATCATTAAGGATTTTAAGCAAATTGCATCTTTACGAATAATATAATCATTATCTGCACTCATAGTTGCTTTCATTAATTTAATAGCATGCTTAATTTGAAGAAGCTGTTTTCATGCGATATACGAAGAATTCCACTGAGTTGGGGTATCAGATATTGCACGATAAAACTCTTGTTCATTGTTATCAATATTTTCTTTTGAAATTTTTAACAATTCCTGTGTTTTTCATAATTGTTCATTTTGTTTAGGCGTACTCAAAAAGTTAATCAATCTTTTTGCACGTTTTATTAAAACTTCTGCAGGTTTTAACCCTTTACCAATAGCAAGCTGAAGCGTATGAACCGTACAAGGAACCCGATCTACGCCCATTAAATTAATAGCCTTAATCATATTAGCAGCATTGTTAGTGGTAATCAAAATTACCTTTTCAAAAAGCCTCCAGTCATTAATTATTTTCTCTAATTCAGCTTTAATATTTACAGCATCATGAGAATATGAAGCATATTTAATTGCAAGTATAGCTTCTTTTAATTCATAATTAGAGTTAATAAAATAACATGTAACACCTATATATTCGCTTTTAGAACATGCAGTCTATAAGTCGCATGTTAATTCGCATGTTTTTATTTCTGTTGCTAGAAGCATTTTAAGATTTTTTATTGAATAATTATAACTTTGATGAATTAGCGCCTTTACATATTTATCAGATGAAAGTTCGTAATATGGATTTAAGGTATAAATAAGTTTAATAAAACTTTCATTTTTCGAAACATAAAGAGGTTGCAAATCTGTAACTATCCATTCTACCAAAGCATAATTGATGGATTCTTTTTGACGAGTATTTTGTCTAGCAGCACGATGGAACATTTCAGTAATTGTTGGCTGTTCAATTGTATCAATGACTTTGGTAGGTTTAGTAATTCTATATGTATTTAAATGTGTTTGAAAGTTGCCAGTTGAACCCTGAGTCTTAACTAACTGTTCACATTCCCATTGTCCATTTGGTGCCTTTTTACTTTTCATAATTATGGTACAATTTTCACGTGTTTTCCATTTTCGTGATGGACGTCTTCGGCGAAAATACTGCCAAACCCAACTAGGGTTTTTTCGCAATTTAGGTTTATTACCAGGTTTTTTATTAGAACAGTTTGGATTATTATTTTTATTAGAATGGTCTGTATCACTAGTTTTATCAAAATAATCTGTAATAATATTAAGGTCCGCACTAATATTATCTTCACTTAATGATCATCACTAGAAGTATCATTACACTCAGGACTAGTATCAGAATTTGATATTGCATTAGAGTCAGTATGGTCTTTGGATTTTCATTTTTTAGCATTTATTGTTATGTCAAGTACAGAAAAAAATTTTATTTTGATAGTGTTTGTTTTTTTTCT